CAAATCAAAAATTTTAAAAATCGAAAAATTGAAAAATAGAAATATCGGAAGAACTGAAAAATCGAAAAACTGACAAATCGAGAATCCAAAAGTTCATCAATCTAAAAAATCGAAAAGTAGAAAAATTAAAAAATTTAAGACATTTAGGGAGGTTGAAAAATCCTAAAACCCAAATATCGAAAAATTGAAAAATTAAAGAAAAATTGTCCAGAAATCGGAACAAAAAAAATCGATAAATGAAAAATTCAAAAAAACTAACATTCATAAATTAAAAATTTAAAAACCACAAAAATTGAAAAATCGAAAAATTGAAGAACCGAAAAATTGAAAAGTCGAAACACAGAAATTTTCAAAAACTGAAACATTGATAAGTCGAAAAATCCGACTGTTGAAGAATCTAAAACCTGAAGGTCGAAAAATTGAATACCTAACAGAAAAATCTAAAACCAAGAAGTCGAAGAATCCAAAGATCCAGATATCGAAACATTAAAAAGTTGAAAAATTAAAATCTCAAAAAACTGAAAAATCCAGAAATTGAAAAGTTCTTAAAATTGAAACGCGGAAAAGCTGAGAAATCTGAAACTTAAAAAAGTCGAAAAATTTTATAAACCGAAAATCAAGATGCGAAGAAATGGGAACATCAAAAAATCGTAAAATCCAAAAATTAAAAAATCGAAAAATCGAGAATTTCAAAAATCGAAAAATTGAGCAAAGTACTGAAAAATCAAGTACCTACTTAAAAAGTCTAAAAATTGAAAAATAGAAATATGGAAAAACTAAAAAATCGAAAATTCAAAATTTAAACAATCGCAAAAATTGAAAAATGGTAGGAATGAAGAATCAAAAACCTGAAAATCGAAAAACCGAAAGATCTAAAACCAAGAAGTCGAAAAATCTCAAGATCGAGAAATCGAAACACCAAAAAACTGCAAAATCTAAAATTTAAAAATTCGACAAATCGAAAAAGCCAAGAACTGAAAAATCGAAAAATCTGCAAAACTTGAATTTCGAAAAATTGAAAAATCCAAAAATTGAAAAGTTCTCAAAATTGAAATGTTGAAAAATTGAGAAATCGAAAACTTTATAAAAATTGAAAAATTGAAAAGTATAAATATCGGAAGAACTGAAAAATCGAAAAACCGAGAAATCGAAAATCCAAAAGTAAAAAAAATCTCAAAAATCGAAAAAAAGAAAAATTGAAAAATTGAAGACATTTACATAATATTGAAAAATCCCAAAACCGGAATATTAAAAAAATTGAAAAATAAAAGAAAAATCGAAAAACCGAGAAATCGAAAATCCAAAAGTTCATCAATCCAAAAAATCGAAAAGTAGAAAAATAGAAAAATTGAAGACATGTTGAAAAATCCCAAAACCGAAATATCGAAAAATTGAAAAATAAAAGAAAAATCGAAAAATTGAAAAATGGAAAAGCAGAGAATTTAAAAAATCGAAAAATTGAGCAAAGAACTGAAAAATCAAAAACTTAAAAAGTCGAAAAATTGAAAATTTGAAATGCTGAAAAGTTGAGAAATCGAGAACTTTAAAAATCATCGAAAAATCGAAAAACAGACAAATCTAAAATTCAAAAGTTAAACAATGGCAAAACTTAAAAAGTGGAAAAATAAAAAATTGAGAATTTGAAAAACCCAAAAATTGAGCAAAGTACAGAAAAATCTAAAATTTAAAAATTCGATAAATTGAAAAGTCGAAGAACTGAAAAATCGGAAAAACTAAAATTTCACAAGTTGAAAAATTAAAATCTAGAACAATCGAAAAGTTGTCAAAACTGAAATGCCGAAAAACTGAGAAATGGAAAACTTGAAAAAGTCGAAAAATTGAAAAATCGAAAAATAGAGAATTTAAAAAGTCGAAAAATTGGGCCAACTACTGAAAAATCAAAAATTTAAAAAGTCGAAAAAATGAGAAATAATAAAATAGAAAAATTTAAGAAATTTATATTGAAAAATTCCAAAACCGAAATATCGAAAAATTGAAAAATAAAAGAAAAATTGAAGAATCTAAAAAGTGAAAAGTCGAGAAATCGAAACATCAAAAAAATCGAAAAGTGAAAAATCCAGAAATTGGGAAATTCTCAAAATTGAAATGCTGAAAAATTGAAAAATCAAAAACTGAAAAATCAAGAAACCTAAAAATCGAAAAGTCGAAAAATTTTATAAACCGAAAATCAAGATGTCGAAAAATCGGTACATCGGAAAATTGAAAACTCGAAAAATAGAGAATTAAAAAAATCGAAAAACTGAAAAATAAAAAATTTAAAAAGTCAAAAAATTGAAAAACAGAAAAAATTGAAAAACTTAAAAATCGAAAAATCGGAAAAACTAAAATTTCGAAAGTTGAAAAATTAAAATCTCGAAAAATTGAAAAATCTGGAAATTGAAAAGTTCTCAAAACTGAACCGCTGAAAAATTGAGAAATCAAAAACTTTAAAAAAATCAAGAAAACTAAAAATCGAAAAGTCGAAAAAATTTATAAGTCGAATAACCGAGATCGAAAAATAAGAAATTTAAAAAATCGAAAAATTGAGCAAAGTACTGAAAAATCAAAAATTTTAAAAATCGAAAAATTGAAAAATAGAAATATCGGAAGAACTGAAAAATCGAAAAACTGACAAATCGAAAATCCAAAAGTTCATCAATCCAAAAAATCGAAAAGTAGTAAAATTAAAAAATTGAAGTCATTTAGGTATGTTGAAAAATCCCAAAGCCCAAATATCGAAAAATTGAAAAATTAAAGAAAAATCCAAAAATCGGAACAAAACAAATGGAAAAATAAAAAATTCAAAAAAATAACATTTCATAAATTAAAAATTTGAAAACTCGAAAAACCGAGAATACAAAATCCAAAATTTAAAAACCGCAAAAATTGAAAAATCGAAAGTTCTCAAAATTGAACTGCTGAAAAATTGAGAAATCGAAAACTTTATAAAAATCAAGATAACTAAAAATCGAAAAGTCGAAAAATTTTATAAATCGAATAACCGAGATCGAAAAATAAGAAATTTAAAAAATCGAAAAATTGAGCAAAGTATTGACAAATCAAAAATTTTAAAAATCGAAAAATTGAAAAATAGAAATATCGGAAGAACTGAAAAATCGAAAAACTGACAAATCGAGAATCCAAAAGTTCATCAATCTAAAAAATCGAAAAGTAGAAAAATTAAAAAATTTAAGACATTTAGGGAGGTTGAAAAATCCTAAAACCCAAATATCGAAAAATTGAAAAATTAAAGAAAAATTGTCCAGAAATCGGAACAAAAAAAATCGATAAATGAAAAATTCAAAAAAACTAACATTCATAAATTAAAAATTTAAAAACCACAAAAATTGAAAAATCGAAAAATTGAAGAACCGAAAAATTGAAAAGTCGAAACACAGAAATTTTCAAAAACTGAAAGAGAATCCAAAGATCCAGATATCGAAACATTAAAAAAATGAAAAATCTAAAATTTAAATTCGATAAATTGAAAAATCGAGGGACCAAAAACTCGAGAATCTGAAAAAACTAGAATTTCAAAAGTTGAAAAATGAAAATCTCAAAAAACTGAAAAATCCAGAAATTGAAAAGTTCTTAAAATTGAAACGCGGAAAAGCTGAGAAACTTGAAAAAGTCGAAAAATTTTATAAACCGAAAATCAAGATGCGAAGAAATGGGAACATCAAAAAATCGTAAAATCCAAAAATTGAAAAATCGGAAAATTGAGAATTTGAAAAATCGAAAAATTGAGCAAAGTACTGAAAAATCAAGTACTTAAAAAGTCTAAAAATTGAAAAATAGAAATATGGAAAAACTGAAAAATCGAAAATTCAAAATTTAAAAATGGTAGAAATGAAGAATTAAAAACCTGAAAATCGAAAAACCGAAAGATCTAAAACCAAGAAGTCGAAAAATTTCAACATCGAGAAATCGAAACACCAAAAAACTGCAAAATCTAAAATTTAAAAATTCGACAAATCGAAAAATCGAAGAACTGAAAAATCGCAAAATCGGCAAAACTAGAATTTCGAAAAATTGAAAAATCCAAACATTGAAAAGTTCTCAAAATTGAAATGCTGAAAAATTGAGAAATCGAAACCTTTATAAAAATCGGAAAATTGAAAAGTATAAATATCGGAAGAACCAAAAGTTAAAAAAATCTCAAAAATCGAAAAAACGAAAAATGGAAAAATTGAAGACATTTGCATAATATTGAAAAATCCCAAAACCGGAATATAAAAAAATTGAAAAATAAAAGAAAAATCGAAAAACCGAGAAATCGAAAATCCAAAAATTGAAAAATCGGAAAAATGAAGAATCGAAAACCTGCAAATCGAAAAATTGAAAAACGAAAAATCTAACCCCAAGAAGTCTAAAAAACTAAAGATCGGGAAATCGAAACATCAAAAAACTGAAAAATCTAAAATTTAATAATTCGATAAATTGAAAAATCGAAGAACTGAAAAATCGAAAAATCGGAAAAACTAAAACAAAAACCGATAAGCTGAAAAATCTATAATTTAAAAACTTCAAAAACTGAAAAATAGAAATATTGGGAGATATAAATATCGAGAAACTGAGAAATCGAAGAACTGAAGAATTGAAAAATTTAGAAACAGAAAATTGAAAAATCAAAAATTTTTAAAATCGAACGACCAACAGTCAACAAATCGAAATTGAGAAACAAAAAAACTGAAAACCAAGAAATTGAAAAATAGAAATATCGAAAAATTGAAAAATCGAAACAGAAATATTCAGTTGAAAAATTGAAATAGACTAAAATCGAAGAGTTAAAAATTGAAAAATTTAAGTCAAGTCAGATTGAATAATATCATATGATCGCAAAAGAAGTCCTGTGATAGTCCATGGAATTTATTTTTAAAATAATGATGTTGGCAACACTAACACGTTTCTTCTTGAGTTTGATAAAAATTAGTAATTCTTCTGAATCTTGTACTTCCCCTACCCCATTTGATCCTTTTGAATTTTTGTTTTTGTTTCAGACAAAACTTTCGCGGAGGTACCGGATAAAATCAGGAGTGCCAACTTTAGTACTCTTGGACCGGGACGGCGGCACCATTAGCGTGTCGGCGCAAGAGCGTCTCCTGGAGGATCCCATGGGAACTTCGTTCCCGTGGCGACCACGTCCTGTCGACCAGGTCCCGCTTTTAATATATATTCACATAGAGTACTAACTTTTCCTGGTTCAGGTCCTGAAGGACGTAGTCCTCCAGCAAGGCGGCACCTACTGCAAAGAGCACCCCTCCACCAAGGAGGAAACCCGCTACGGCGACCTCCCCGACGCCGTCCGCGGCTTCTACTTCTCCGCCAACTGGTGCCCCCCCTGCCGCGCCTTCACCCCCCAGCTCGCCGAAGTCTACCACGTCATCCGCAAGCGCGAGCCCGGCTTCGAGATCGTCTTCGTCAGCAGCGACAGGTGAGCACCACAAAGACGCGATAAGCGAAACAGGGGTCGGCCGCCCCCGGCGAAGGGGCGGCGGTGCATGCAGACATTAATTACAAGTTATGGTGCGCGTCGACGGACCTGTAATGGGATTGCGGCGTTACGCGGATGACACGTATCGTGCACAATTAACGGGTGTCACCGGGGGCGGCGCAGACAAAAAGGACAAACAAAGGAACGGCGCTATATAGACATGCGGATTTTAATCCGTCGGGGATTTACGGTTATGGTGACAGGCAGCGACTCGATTTTGTGAAAGATCCATCGAGTATGTGTAGCTTGTCGGTTGACTAATATTCACACCGCGATTGGCTGCGTGACCCAAATAAAGCGAGCGATCCCGATTCCGAACCGGCGCAACCCCTAAAATAAGCATGGGAATGGCAAATTATTTCATTCGCGTTCCTCCCTCAGTTGGATATTTGCAATAACCCTCACCGAAATTTTATGTGCCGTTCTTTCCATCCCCTTTCCGTTTATTTCTTTGGAACTTTTTTTTATCAATCAAAAGGCGGCGGCAGTTCTCGTCCATTTAGCACCCTCGACACAAACATTTTAATAAATTCCGCACAACTCACCCCCAGAAACGAGCGCCATTATTTTTAGCCCCGTCCTGAATTTTCTTCGCTCTGTGTTTTTAACGTAATTCGAGTTTCGTTCGAACAAAAGAAACAGACGTTAATTTGCGTGCTAATACTAAACAACACGTCTTTTTCGGCATGAACGCGTAATAAAAATTTTAATCTCGCCGTTAATTGGCAAAACATCCCTTTTTCGAAGCTCGCGTGTCATCGCAACCCTCCGCAATAAATCGTAGGGGTATTATCCAACAATAGCGTTTTGCCAAAAGAAGTAAATTTATTTGCATAAAATTTCCAAGTGGTTTTATTGTTTGCTCGAAAGGGACGGCGAAGACCGTATTTATCTAAATTCGGGGAATAATCAGCCATTTACATGCCACCGGAACTTCCAGATACTTCCACCCGTGTCGAGGGGTAAAACGGGAGACCTACTTTTCCACATTCTTACAATTTAGAACACAGATAAGCCGCAAAAAATCCAGCTTCCCTAATCTCCAAAAACCACCCGAACTACCCCGAAGCACGAAAACAAACAACAAAAACCGTCATCTCCCCTCAGGAGCTTCTTCACTAAATTAAGCCGACTTTCCGCCGACCTTTAATTAAAGTAAACTTGGCAAAAAGCAAAGGGTTGCGTCGCCACGCCAACGCACCCTGTCTGAATCGTCACCGTTTAATATTTGGCTTGGCCGTTCCTCCACTGATGACATTGTAAATTTGAATATTTCATTAACGTTGTGACAAACTTATGCGCGGACGAGCCGCCCCTTGCCATTTAACGGGGGTTGTCGGATTAGGCTCAATTTTGTGAGATTAAGGAAAACTTTGTCTTATCTGGAGGGTTGAAATTCGGCTGATGCGTGTGCACAAGTCGAACCACCGTTTTTACGGCGTCGTTAAAATGGTTTATGGGTGGAGGAATGGCTTGACCTTATTTTTGGACGCTGGGGAGGAGCGAGTGGGGGCGCAGATGGCGAATGGACAGGGTTCGGGTTGGTCTTGCAGGGGCGACGGACGGCGCGAAGGTCGAAAGTGTCGTGTCTCTGGTAGCTGTGACGTCGATTCATTAAAATTTTGGACTATAGGGACTACAAGGTTTTCAGGAATTTCAAAAAATTAAAAAAAGCTTGAAAATTCCGCAGATTCCACAGATTCCAAATATTTAAAAATTGCAAAGATGATAGAAATCCTAAAGATCGAAAAATATTTAAAATTCTAGAGATATTGAAGTATCTAAAAATAATGAAAATCTGAAAGCTCTAAAGATTATAGAAATTCTAGGACTCTAGGGGTCAAAAGCTAAAATTCTGTTTCGAATACTTGAAAGATTCTAAAGGTTCTAGAGAAATTCCAAAAGGCCAAAGATTCTAAAACTTGTAAAATCGTGTGAACTCTTAAAATACCAAAGATTTTAAAAGTTCTAAAGACTTTAAAGAAAACAAAAATCTTAAAGACCTAAAAATCGTAAAGATCGGAAAAATGCTTTCTTTAATAATTTTTATAAATCCTAAAAGCACTGAAGGCCTTGAACACCCCAAATATTATTTTATAAATCTTGGAGACTGTAAAGATCCCAGAGATTCCAAAAATTCCAAAGATTTAGACTCTTGAGATTATAAATTTTAGAAAATCTGAAAAAAAGGTTGAATTTAAAAATTCTGGTATAACTGGAGCCTGATAATTTTAGAAATTTTGGAAAATGTGGAAATTCTGGACATTTTGTGTACTTCGGAAAATCTGAAAACTTGGGCTAATTTGAAAAATCTGAACATTCGGAAAATTTTGCAAATTACGAAAGTTCCCAAAAATTAAAAGAAAAGAAAAAAAATATTGAATCTCAAAGCAAAATATAAGCCCCGCCCACCCACCCTATCTCAAGTATTAGGGGTCTTGAATTATTATTATCTTAAACATCTCAGACATTCTAAAGATTCCAGAAATTTCAAAAATTTCAAAGATTTAAAGACTCTTTTGGGGTTTATTAATTTTAGAAAATCTGGAAACATCTAGAGAGTGTGAAAAATCTGAAAGACCTAGAAATCTTGAAAACTGAGAAAAATGTTGAGTTCTGGCAGATCAGAAGACTGATATTTTTATAATATTTAGAAAATCTGGAACTTCTGGAAATTTCAAAAATTTACTCAATTCTAGAAATTCTAAACATTTTACTGAATTTGTGAAAATATTCCAAATAGTGCGAAAGTTTAAAGTTTCTCTAAATTTCAAAGATTTCGAAAATTCTAAAGGTGCCAAAACCCTAAGGAGTCTATTAATACTAAATCGATATACGTGCCCTTGCTGAAAAATTGGGCTAATTTGGAAAATCTGGAAGATTCTGGAAATTTTGAAAATTTTGCAAATCACCCAAATTCCCAAAAATTAAAGAAAAGAAAAAATATTGAAACCCAAAGCAAAATATAAGCCCCGCCCACCCACCCTATCGCGATTCTGATGATTTTTTTTATTGGTCGTAAGCCAAAGGGCGGAGCTTAATTGTAAAGTCCTTATTTTTCTACGAGAAATTACCATATGGAATATGTTCTTAAGTAATCGTGTTATATTCTTTGTATAAACTAAATGTATTAATCAAAAAAGAAAACCAAAAGAGAAGCTCCACCCATCCGTCTGCATCTCAACCGTGATGAATTTTTCATTAGTTGTCAGATCGAGGGGCGGGGCTTAATTGAAAGATCCATATTTGTTTTCAAGAATTTACCATTTTAACTACGTTTTAAGTTTCTCGTAATGAAAAAAACGACCACGTATATTGAGAAAGAAGGCAAAATATAAGCCCCGCCCACCCACCCTATCTCGATTCTGATGATATTTTTTATTGCTCGTAAGCCAAAGGGCGGAGCTTAATTGTAAAGTCCTTATTTTTCTACGAGAAATTACCATACGAAATATGTTCTTAAGTAATCATGTTATATAAAGAAAACTAAATGTATTAATCAAAAAAGAAAACCAAAAGAGAAGCTCCACCCATCCGTCTGCATCTCAACCGTGATGAATTTTTCATTAGTTGTCAGATCGAGGGGCGGGGCTTAATTGAAAGATCCATATTTGTCTTCAAGAATTTACCATTTTAACTGTTTTAAGTTTCTTGTAATGAAAAAACGACCACGTATATTGAGAAAGAAGGCAAAATATAAGCCCCGCCCACCCACCCTATCTCGATTCTGATGATATTTTTTATTGCTCGTAAGCCAAAGGGCGGAGCTTAATTGTAAAGTCCTTATTTTTCTACGAGAAATTACCATATGAAATATGTTCTTAAGTAATCGTGTTATATAAAGAAAACTAAATGTATTAATTAAAAAACAAAACAAAAAGGGAAGCTCCACCCATCCGTCTGCATCTCAATCGTGATGAATTTTTCATTGAATTTTTCAGATCGAGGCGCGGGGCTTAACTGAAAGATCCATATTTGTCTTCAAGAATTTACCATTTTAACTATGTTTTAAGTTTCTTGTAATGAAAAAACGACCACGTATATTGAGAAAACAGGCAAAATATACGCCCCACCCACCCACCCCAACTCAATTCTGATGATTTTTTTTATTCGTCGTAAGCCGAGGGGCAAAACCTAACTGCAAAATCCATATTTCCTTTCAAAAATTCACCACTTTAAATGCGTTTTAAGTTTCTAAAAATAAAAAAATCATTACAATTGAAACAGGGTGGGTGGGCGGGGCTTCATTTTGCTTCTTGTTTTAATATGTGTACACTTCTTTTCACAACATGAAACTTCAAACATGTTTAAAGTGGAAAATTTGTGTAAAGAAATATCGATTTTGCAATTAGGCTCCGCCCCATTATTGCAAAATCAATATTTCCTTGCAAAAATGTACTATTTTAACCTTGTTCTAATTTTCTTGTTGTGAAAAGATGGCTAAGATGTTAGGAAAAAAAGGCAAATTGTAAGCCCCGCCCTATCTCAAATTTGATGATTTTTTTATTCTGGTATAACTGGAGCCTGATAATTTTAGAAATTTTGGAAAATGTGGAAATTCTGGTCATTTTGTGTACTTCGCAAAATCTGAAAACTTGGGCTAATTTGGAAAATGTGAACATTCTGGAAATTTTGAAAATTTTGCAAATTACGAAAATTCCCAAAAATTAAAAGAAAAGAAAAAAATATTGAATCTCAAAGCAAAATATAAGCACCGCCCACCCACCCTATCTCGATTCTGATGGTTTTTTTTATTGGTCGTAAGCCAAAGGGCGGAGCTTAATTGTAAAATCCTTATTTTTCTACGAGAAATTACCATGTGAAATATGTTCTTCAGTAATCGTGTTCTATAAAGAAAACTAAATGTATTAATTAAAAAAGAAAACCAAAAGAGAAGCTCCACCCATTCGTCTGCATCTCAACCGTGATGAATTTTTCAT